TGTTTTCATCAGCCATCACTTTTATCTTTATTTTGCTTTTCTTGCTATTTTGAATCACCATCGCTTGGTATTTGTTTTTGTTTGCTTTCAGATGATTGTCCTTGTACCATTGTGAGGCCGTCTTGATGTCTTTATTCAAACGCATCTCAACTTCATTACCGTTCTCTCCGGAATAATAGATCTGATGATCGTCGGCATACATGCTTATCTGAGAGTGCATTATTTTGAAGACCAAGTCATTTTGAAAGATATTCCACAACATGGGACCGAATGCTGATCCTTGTGGGCATCCTCTTGTTGTTTCCCTCCATTCACTTCTTATATTTCCTAGTTTGACCCTATTCTGTCTTTGTTCAAAGTAGGATGTTATTAATCTCAGAGAATCTTCGGCCAGGCCATAGGATTCAAGCTTTTTTAGCAGGAGACTTGGAACCATGGAATCGAAGGCTTTGCTCATGTCTGTTGAGAGAATGGCTGTTATCTGTTTATTGTCCAGGGCGAATTTCCAATCCTCAATCAGTCTCAGCAGCGAAGTTTCTGTGCTGTTTTGCTTCTTGTATGCTGTCAAGCACGGGCTTAGTTTGTTACCAAATGAATGTGTAGCTTGCTCACTGAGCACCTTCTCAAAAACTTTGTCAACTGCATTGAGAACTGTTATTGGCCTGTAATTTTCATGGACGTCTTTATCTGCTTTCTGGTGAACTGGTGCCCATTCTCCTTTTTTCCACTCGATGGGCCACTTTCCTTGCGTGATGCATGAGTTATATAATGATGTTAGAGATGGAGCTAGTTGTTCAGCATTCATTTTAAGAAATTCAGGCGTTATTCCATCGCATCCAGTGGCTTTTATTGGGTCTAGCGATGACAGAGCTTTTTCGACACTTTTTTGGGACAGGAAAGAGAATTTCAATTCACAACTGACATCAAAGTTGTCTTTTATTGCAATGACACTTGGATGCATATCAAGAGACTCTGTTTCTTCCTGCTGTACTTCATCTATGTGACCCATCTCTGTAAAATAAGTCACGAATTGTTTGGAGACTAGCTTCGGGTCACTAATAATTTCATTGTTCACTTTAAGTCTGATAGCATTTGTATTAGAAGACTTCGTATTGGACTGTATAAATGGTCTAAATGCATTAAAGAATTCTCTTGGTTTGTTTTTCATTTCTTCTGATAATTTTCTCCAATATGCCTTTATAGCTAACCGCCTTTCTCGGGTTGCTTTATTCCTCCATTCATTTCTAAGTTTTTTGTTTTCTTCATTTCTTTCTCTTCCATATTGTTTTGCATACCTTCTCTTTTTCCTGATTGTTTTTTTCCATTCCAGAGTCATGTAAGGTACATCTTTCTCTCTTACTCTCATCCTTTTTAATGGTAGGTGTTTGTCAATGATTTGGCTTATTAATTCATGCCAAAAATGGCATTTATCGTCAACTGAATCGAATGTCTCTGTCACTTGCCAGGGCATAGCTTCAATATCTTTCTTGAGTTCTTCATGGTTCAGATTCTTTTTACTACGGAAGGTTATAATTTTCCTTTTATGCTGTTTGATACGTGTATTCATCAGGCCAAATGTCATAAAGTGATCACTTAAACCGGAGTCGAGCTCCCCGCTTAGCTGGAAATTATCTGGGATATTTGTGAGAATTACATCAATTAATGTTTGTGTTTTATCAGTGACTCTGGTTGGCCTTTCAATCATGCATTGCAGATTATGTACCTCTTCTAATCCAATAAGTATTTTTCCCTCTGTACTCTCTGGTTGTAGTCTATTTAAATTCAAATCCCCTAGGACTACCAATTTATTTCCCTGCATTGCTGCCCAGCCTACAATGTCATTTATCTCTTTCTCGACTTTAAGGAAGTGTTCCTTTCCAATAGCTTTTGGTGGTCTGTAAAGGCAAAGAACAATTAACTTGACTCCAGGTAGCTCTATGCTACATGCCAGAACTTCGAATTTTTCATAGCATTTTTTTGGAGTTTTCAATTTCTTAGATATTACTTGCTCTGTTACATAGGCCATTATGCCTCCTCCACCCTTCTTTCTATCTTCCCTAAAAATTCTGTAACCCTCTATTTTGAATTGTTCATCTGGGTAGGTGTTGTCAATTTTCGTCTCTGTTATAAATAAAATTTGCGCACTCAGGGATTTGTTCAGTTCTTTTAGGTCTTCTATTTTGTTTTGTATGCTGTTTATATTTTGATGGCAGATTAGCACATTTCTATTGTCCTTGTTACGCAATTCTAAGAGCCTTTCTTCTGCTGTTTCTGTTGATGTCCTATCAATTGTTGAAAACTGTTGATCAATTGTTTCATTAAACATTGCATCCCAGGTATCTCCATTGTCATTAGTTTGACCTGCACAATGGAAAAATTCTTGCAGGTTGCTGCAATCTGCAAAGGGTAACAAAACTTTACTTTCCAAGATTTGCTTGTTAGTACAAGTAGGGCAGTACCAAGTTTTGATTTTCTCCAGCCGTTTGTGTTCAGTTACTGATACATGGCCGATATGGCAAAGCTGGGCACATCCATTGCAGGTTAAGGCTCGGTGTGTTTTTGCAACTGCTCTATGGCAAACAGAGCAAGAACGCTTAACAGGTCCCGGGTTTGGGTGTACATCACCAGCCATGAGTAAAAGGTATTCATTGCTCTCTAGTAACTGGAAAGTACAGTTAGAATTTCTATAACGTGAAATCCGTGATTTGAAAAATTTCCGTTTGCTCTTTGGTCTTTGACTTAGGCCATTTTTATAACGATGAACTTCTGGCACGTTTGAGTGAAGTGGTTTGTTTAACGTCCTATTTCCCCAGCAAACCGTGTCTGGTTTATGATCTTTGCAGTGTCTGTAGTGCAGAAGGGCAAATAGTGGTGAAAGCAGTCCAGCAATTACAACCAACGCGCTTGTACAAGCTGAGTGCGAGAAACAACATCTAGCCGCCATACTCTCAATTGGCCGTGAAAAGTCCGTGAAAAGTAATGTCCGTATAATGTCCGTGAAAAGTTTATGTCTAACCAGAAGATTGGATATAAAAATGCAGAAGAACGTAACTAATAACATAGATTATCTTTATACAATAAGCATTTGTTATATTTAATTTCATGCAAGTGTATATAATTCTTTAAGTCATTCTTTGCATAAAGTCTTAGAAAGTCCTTTCATCGATTGGCCACATTTTTTGCATGAAGGGGCCTTTCTTTTTGGCAAACGATCAGCTCTGTTGCACGCTTGCTCAGCTACCAAATCTTCTTGGAGTTTGTATTGATCATTTTCTGGTAAGATAAACATTGATTATTAAATTTAGAATAAAAAATGGAAAAATTTTTCATCATACAGTTTTAATGATTAATCAACAAAACTTTAAATGAAAAGGCAAATAAAACGTTATTTTCTGGCCAATTAAGAATATTACCTGAAGGGTATAATAGTTGAAATAGTGTTCTCCTTTTTTTATATTCTTTTACAGCCTCTTTCTTACTTTTTGTTCTTTCAAATCTGCTCACCAAGGATGCAGGCATCTTATTAGCATACTTTCTCCAAATCTGGCCAAGTTCTTCTTCGTTTGATTTAAATAAAAGTTCTTTTGTATGCTCAACGTAATGTTTAAACTAATATTTTATCTAATATATTTAAACTAATATCAGTTCTTGAAAAATACAATAGCATTTCTCATCTTCCATTTCTCAGGGCAAAATATGAATTGATTTGTCTTTATATGGCAAGATTATGTAGATTATATGTTGTATGCTGTCTACTCACTGTAAGATGGAGGGACTGGAACAGGTTTTACTGCTTCTTCGCCAGGTTTATATTTAGGATAAGAAACTTTGAAATATTCCTTTCCATTTTTGTCTTTTTGTGCTTCCCTGTGCAGGTTTTCGTTGAAATGTGAAACTGCCATTATATGCCTTGGAAAAAATATAACAGTTCTTTGTTGGGTATTTGGATACATTTTCTGTTTGACTCACAAATGAAGTTTAGTTTTATTTTGCTGATACTGATACAAATAAAAATTATACATTTATGTAAAGTAGGCTGTGTTTTTGCTAGGAATGGCATTCAAATACTGTTGCACACGTTGGCACTTTCTTAAACTCTCTAGAAGTACAATTTACAGGAAGCAACAATATCCAAAATTTAAATTTCAGTTATTCACTCAGTGTTGAAAAATTTTCTCAGCAATTAATTTTCTCCAAAGATAGCTTGGCAGGTAGTAAAGATAGTATAGTGAAAAACAATACAATGCACAATGCTCAGTAATTTTTAATTAATGATTGGTATCTCTAGTCATAAGTACCTGCACAGAGAGCCAATCCAGGAGTAATGTGTCATCTTTGGGTGCCATTGGTTCAGTGTAGAGTGGTAACCCTCGAGCCAGCTGGTTTGTGCATTTGATGACAATTTCGCAATGTCTTGTAGAAGGCTTTGATTCATTAGAATTGGCTGAATCTTGTCATATGCAGTAGTTCCTGTTGAATTACATATATTTAATACTATTATTTTATGTTAGCTGTTAAGGAGAAGTATATGGGAAGTTTAACAATCAGCACAATTGTTTATTTTCTTAGGTTTCAAAATTGATGCAAGACCATTTAGGGATCTTTAATGAAGGGTGTTTGCCTATCTTTAAAAAAAACCATTAAATTATGAAAGGGGCTACATTTTGTATAAAATGCAGTGATTTGACAAAATGATACAAACCATTGATAATCCATCTACGTTTATGATCTAGTTCTCCATGTGCACACCTCTGAAACAGTTTGTCTTCGTGGTTGTTGTGCTTGTTCTGGATGTGATTTGAGAAAGCCTTCCATTTTGCGACAATGAGTTTCCCAAAACCTTCCTTTGTTGATGTTGCACACCAGTAGAGGTGGTTGCGGATTGCTGAACACCAGGTACCCAATATCTCACAATTTCTCTCCTTGCTAGCTATTGTTACCTTCTTGGTTAAGGTGCGTGCAACATGCCAAATATCATAATAATGATGGACATGTTGTAAAGACTCCCTTATCCATTTGGCCACTCCTCTGTGTCTGTCTGATATAAAATTGGAGACCTCTATCCCGGCATCATTTAGGTATCCGAAACATTGTTAGCACCAAGCAACTCCATATTGGAACTACCTTTGCATTCATTTGACTATACAGGAAATAAAATAAAGAGGGTGAAAATGTACATCAGTTTACTTCAAAGTTGAAATTGATGTCAGGTTATTAAACACACAAATATGAAGATACAAGTTTATGGTTGATGACTTATAGCAACAGTCTTTAATTTTGTCTACAAATAAACACATTTGAAGTCCAATCCAGTGCTTTCTCTTGGTTTTATAAGGTCCAAGACTTGATATTTGACCTTATTAATGATTTTCTAATGCTAGATATTTGATTCCATTTGAAAACAATCTTATTAATTAACTTACTTTAAAAATTTCTATCTGTTTGGCTTTTTTCATGTCGCATTCACCGAATCTTTCGAAATAAAGTAAGGAAATTGTTAAGTTTGGGCTTTCTGTAACAAGTCGCTTACAAATGAATTAGATTGATAGAAAAAATGGTTTATGATTTTTCCATTACCTGAACCAATTCAAAGTGTATGATTTTTTTTATATTGTCACAATACATCGTGTAAGTGCCATATTTTGCTGAATGCCCCATCGAATCGAATCGCCCATCGCCACATAGGACAATGTCTTTAACACCATGAAGCTCAGTCAGTAATGATGCTCTATATAGCTCCCAGTGACGGAGAATTGCAGGGAAAACAAACTTTTTTTGATGACGGAAAAAAGTATGTGCACTGTAAGTGGCATGGCCGAAGTGTCTGAAAATTGATAGCAGTTTGCTGATTGATGCTCCAGCTGTAAGAGTGCTGAGACTAAGCAAGATGTTACCAGCTGGATAACGACCAAGAACGTATGGTTGTGACCTCCATTTCCAACAGTCTTTCCCACATTCGATGCAACTCTGATAAACAGTTACCATTGTCCCATTCTGCTCCATTCTGACTCCTGGCTTAGTTTTTTTACACTTGAAACAGAGGATTGAAAAGACTTGTAGTAGCATTGTATAAAATACAATAAACTTGGGTTCTTTTTCTGGAGTTGCATTTTGGTCAATTCTGCGATAAAGATATATATTAATGCATTTCCCTGACATTCCCTACATCACATAAAAATGATAATTTTGTCAAATATTATACAACATATGGAAGGGAAAAAAGGACTTTTTGTTATTTGTTGCTTGGCTAATGAAAAATTGGCTCAGCAGAATATGTAGCATTACCTCACTTGTTGCCTCTTTTTATGTGTATCATCATAATCATAATCATCAAAATCAGTCCCATCACTATCTGACATGTCACTAGGAGAACTGTCTGCTTCATCAACTTTCCATTCGCTGTCCTCGTCTTCTGATAAATTTTCATTTGACTCTTCAGCAAGAAGTATATCCTCAACAGGAATAGGGTTACCGCTATCTTCCTAGAAAATAACAGATTAATAGATACAACTTATTGTACTAGCATTTCCAAGCCTTCTCAGTGGGATGTGTGTACAGAACCCCCTTCTCTTGGGCATATATCCAGAAAAGGCTCATTGTCCTTGGCTTCAAATTTCTAACTATCACGTTTTTCTAGATGACAGGGTGAAGGCCCACTGACTTTTTGCATATAAAGTTTTAACAAAGTTACTTTGTGAAAACAGAAATTTAAAAGCGCCTGGAACAGTCTAAAGTCGAGAAATGATGCAGATTTATCTTTAGCTTTACTTACATTCTTTTCGCTGCCTTCCCGTAGTGTCCTTATAACATGTTTTAGCCTGTTGTTCTGACGTCTTAGGTTCTGAATTTTTTTCCGTGTTTCAGTCCATTTCTTGCACATCATTGCCACTTGTATTGCCGTATGTGTTCTAATATTTCCTTGAACCTCTTCTCCTTGAGGGGTTATGCATGTGGGGCATGTGTGTACGGGGGCACCTGTCAGATGAACTTGGCACTGCAATGGAACAACGTCTACATGTTCTTCAGAATCGATGTGCTGTTCCCCGATGGTGAAAGAGTCTCCAATTGTGAACGCATTTTCGCCTACTTCAACCTCTTCTATCTCTTCATGGAACTGTCCTGAAGCACATTCATTTTTGTTAGCGTGTTCGTGCTCTTTGATTCCTCTTAACAACTAAAATTGAGGAAATGGTAAATTTTAAGAAACTAATATATAGTTTGTTAAAAAACTTTAATGAAAAAATTACGAAAACCTTGAATCTGAGAATGATGAGAGCCATTTTCATAGAGACTGTATATAGATAAAGCTCAAAGGTATATTTTATACTGACAGTTCTTCTGTTTCTTGCCACCTTTGAAGACGATTCACTAAATGCCTGGCTTCGTCCTCGTGTGTCGAATACAGTTGGAATACGATCCTTTTTTAAAGTCCTCTTCGTTTTGGAACTGTCAAAACCAGGAAGCTCTAAAGCAAACGGTTTTTAATAGCAAGAGCGTTCAAAATGATCTGAGCACAGGTAAGGGCCGATCGAGTAGGCTTGGTGATTGAAATTGGCACGATGTCTTCTGACAAAACGAATCCATTGCCTTCGCAAATCGAGGTTTTTACTTGGAAAACGGTGCATACTAATACCTGGCGTCAAACTACTGTTTGTACAGCTCTCCCCATTTGGTAATCCGGCAACGCAATATTGCCCCCCATGTTTCACTTTTTTGTTTGTCGGCCTTGTAGATTCTTGCATACTTATTGATTTGAATTCGAAATCTTGTTTCAAATCTCGTTGTTTTGAGCTGATGTTCTGAACCGAAAACTGCCTGAAAGCATCTTACGCCCCTATTTTATACTTTTGTGAACTCAAAAGGTTTTTCCAATTATTAAAAAGTCGGAAATCTCAATAATCAACGCACATAATCATGCATACAAAGATTAGTATGGAAGTTGAGGGATGTGACGGCATTATTGTGCAAGCTATTGGCAAACGTAAATCCTCCAAAATTTACCTTTACGAAATTTCCTGAATACGTATTCAACAGTTATTCAAAAAAGCTGATAATTTGTCACAGAAGTAAACAACAGGAAATTATTGCAAGCGGATTTCATTTCGTACTTAACGTGTTGGCGGCAATCTAACACAACAAAGCACCCTTATTCTGTCCAACATCTGACGTCACAGACTTCTGGCGCCAAATTTCTGACCACGTTCAAATTCTGCCAATCGAAGTATGCAAAATTCCGAATTTAAAACCGAATATTTCATGAACTAGATATCGTATCGAGAAAAGGAAAAAAGTTTTGAAATCTGCGCGTTAAACTTGGTTGAAATAAACCTAATATTATTTTCGTGTCATATCCTCTTTAAAGAAGATCACGATAGGTTTCAGAAATACCAAAAGATGGCTGATGAGGTCAATACCCAAGGAGTAGCATTAAATGCAAAAAAAAAGAGCTGAAAGCGTTGAAAATTCAAAAAATATGCAATTTCAGGTATAAATACATAACAAGTGTTCAGTTTAATTTCGCCTTTGCATTAAGAGTAGTAACATTCAAAGAAAATTAAAGAAGAGTATGTTGTATTCCAATCACAAACATTGTTTTCTTTAACATATCTTTAAAGTAATGACCATTGCCTTCCAATACTTGTTTAAATCTTGTTATAATATAGAGTTACATTTCTGATATGCTGGGTGATACTATATATATCAATTGTTTCAAGACTTTTGTGATGATGCATAAATGATTTTCTATATAGGCACTGGAACTGCAAAAGCTTGGTTTTGAGTCCTTTGGGATTATTGCCAAGCCAAACAGTAACTTGATTGCAGAGTTTGGTTCAAGCAGAGGAAAACTCTTTTTGGAAGACAAAAAAATTTGTTGGGAATTTGCCTCTGAGATAAATGGTAAGTCAACAACAATTTAAGTAAACTCCACCTAGAGTCCATTTCAAGTGGCTGATGGAGTTACAGTCATTTAGAATCTACACCCAAATATGCAACAATATGGAAACTAATCAATGTATTTTGATTAACAGTCATATTTATTAACTCTCTCGTGTTTTCAGTCAACATCTGGATGACCAGGGTCTACTGTACCAGCTATATGTATGTGAATGCAAGACATGAAATAATAACATTGTTTAACCCTTTTAATACTTCTTTGTAGTAATTCCTTTTGATTTCAGCTTCCAAAACTTCTACGCTTTCATTCTTTTAAAGTTAAATTCATTGTACATTTGCAGTTGAAAAGAGTGAAAGAAAAAAGGACCAATGGGAAAATCTTCGCCAACAGTTCAAGATAAATTAAATGCAGTATACCAAGGTGATTGTCTGCCTATCTTATACTGTACATAAACCTATATTGGATATCCCATACTTGGGAATGTGTTCTTTGTTAAATGACAAGATTTGTAATCTAACCCCTTTAAAAACATTTTTCTTAGAAAGTGGTATGGCAAAGAACCATGTGGAGTGGAAAAAAGTAAAAGCAGGAGAAATTTTGGCTAAAGGCTTTCCAAGTGATATTAGCCCATCTCCTGCCTGCACATTTGGCATTGCAACCTTAAAACAACTGTTGCAGGAGGATGTTGTCTTTTCTTTTCAAGGTTTGGTGACATATTTTCAATATGTGCAACCTGAGTTCGATTTTCAATTAACCTGATTTACTATTTTTAATCCAAATCATTTAAGACCATTACTCAGATTATCTCCTTTAATGGTTTAGGTCTAGGTTTTGGTTTTGTTGAAATGTAGATCTCATTTCCTATTTGGATTGTGTGATACATCTTAAATTCATTTCTTCAAATCTCAATTCATCCTTTGCATCCCTCTACCTGCATAGTTATATTAGGATAGAAAATGTAGCCATTACAATTACTTTTACCTGCTTGAGAGTTTTATATGAAAGTATCTTCATCTTTATCTATCGTAGAAGCTGCCGTGAACCAAGAAGGCTTTAAAATTACCTCAAGCACAATTGAAATTCAGCCAGACGAAGATATTTGTCTTCAAGAAGGCGATCCTTTTGAAGAAATGAACATGACAGCTAATACTGAATGCCTTGAGGAAGGCCTTTATAAAATAGACTGTCTGCTGGACAAGAAAATGATGAATAAAAAACCACACTATTTGGTCAAGTGGACTGGATACCCTGAACCTACTTGGGAACCTTTTACAAACATTGATGATCAGAAAAAAATTCAACGCCAAAAGGAATGACATTTAATATACTCTTACTCTACTTTAATTTATTCATTTAGGTTTATTGATATATAATTTTTGTAAAAGTTACTATTACCAAAAACAAAGATTGTTTTCTGGTATTGTCAACACTTGTCATTTCCCAGAGTAGAAACACTCAAAAGACAGCCAATATTTTTACATCAATTTTACCTAAGTAGGAACATGCCAAAAACCTATGTGAATGCATCCATTTGCATTGTTTTTCTTTCTGGCAACAAGAACATTTTTCATCAACAAATCAGGAGGAGCAAGTGCCTTGGCTAGTGCCATCCCATTTAGGCACCAAACATCTAGTCCATTGCAGCATAATAAAGAATTCTTAAATATTATCAATACTTCAAGGGTGTCGAGTTTGCTTATATTAGTTCTTCTTCATTACCAGTCTAAAGAAAATTATTGCTGTTTGAGTTAGGTTTTTGATGAAAATAATAATGTATTGATATGAAAATTTATAGCTATGATAAACAATTGAGGACTTAGCTAACAATTAACACTTTGGTAGCAGGGCTATTTATTTCTAGGGAAAAAATTTTAGGAGATTAAGCAACTAAAAAATAATTGAAGTAACAATTATTTCTGCTTGAGTTTTCACTAAATTTCAAATGTCTACATTTGGCTACCAGTTAAATTATACCAAGTTATCATGTTACTTGTATATGTTTGCTTGTATGTGTGCTATGCTTGATAATAAAATGGATAGAATTGAGTGATTATGGTGTTAAGACTTTCCCTTGTTTACATTGGCACCAAGTATCTGATTTTGTCAACGGCAAACTGTTAACAAGTATATATTTGCATGACCAGTTGAAAGAAAAGAAATCAGCTCATTATTTTTATTGGTTATAAAGCAGAAAATATATAAATCAAGAAAATCATATCAATCAAATAAATAACTATTCACATTGAACCTTTTAGACAACAAATAGTTGATGGGAGAGAAGCCTAGTAGTATGGATTAAATTACAATATTTACAAATGAAACCAAATACTTTTTTATCGAATAATTTAAAATTGATGTGAGAATCTTTGAAAGACTGAAAAAAATAAAATTCTTCAGCGGGCGAAGACAGTTCTTTCTGTATGGTTGTAATTGTAACAACATTAAAACCACTTTCAATGTCACTATAAAAAGTGTCTCCAGTTCCAAGAAATTCCTTAGTTGGTTCTGTTTCAAAACTGATGAATACTTCCTTTGGGTATTCAGTGTCATTGTGTACCAAGCTGAATGGTTTTTCTTTCAACCACTGACGTATGTACCAGACTGAAAAAGAAGACAGCTCAGTTTAAGTCAGAGAGTTTTTGGTAGTCACATAAAGTTGCCTGAAAAATGTGAATTTGACCACTTACATTTCTCTTCATCGATTAATTGCTCATCTGTCCTAGAATCACTAGACCAACTGCTGGTTGGACACTCTAGGGGTATTTCTGAAAAAAAGAACAGATAACATTAAGATGGAGCTACATCCTTTTTCCAATGAAACACTCAAGAAATGTCTGGCTTATGATTTTGAAGAATTTTTGAAGACTAATGCTTTTCCATGTGCGTGATATTATTCAGAATAGATTCACTTATTGCTTGCAGCACAATCAAAAGTTGACTGTAACTAAAGACACTACCACTGGTATTACCAGGAAAAAAGTAATGCAACACTCAAATCAAAACGGCACAGAAACATTTGAATTTTAAGCTTCAATATTCCCCTTAAATCATGCTATACGGAATTTGTTCAAATTTGAACTCTAAATTAGGATTTCAAATTATTTAGAATTACTTAAATAATTATGAAGAATTATATAAGAAATTATGAAGTTAAGAAGTTAAGAGGTAAAAAAAATACTGATAGGGTAAGGAGCAAGTAGTTGTCATGATAAATCTTAGTGTGAACAGTCTAATTGGAAACTAATCTGTATACTCCTTTGCAGATACAGCATTTGAACACATTTCCTTTCTAATATGTATAATAATAGTTATATAAGTATTTAAAGAAAAAGACTGCTTGGAAGCTATACCAGTCTTTTGTAAGTAGCAATTAAAATGCTGTGATCAAGATTTCTGTTTTATCAAACTCCCAAATCAATGTTGCTAAAATGAGGAACTAGCTAAATGTGCATGGAGAGAAATAGCAACACGACCAGCCAATGAGCTTGGAACCAAAGGAACCCCCATGGAACTAAAATAAACGTGGCTACTAATATAAACACACATCACTGAGCCTCTTCTGTCACTACAGTGATGCCATATTTTCATGGCAGCCACTCTTCAACTTCCCTTCACTTGTAATATGCCTTGGTACATTTTACTTGTTGATTAAACAATCCATATAGGAACACAACAAAAGGGAGGGGGTCAGAGGGTGATGCCTTTAAAACAAAAACTTCTTGTATTAAGACTTTTATAGTTTAAACTCAGGGATGGGCCCTCTAATTCTGGAAACCCTTTTTAGTGTGAGCATTTGGGCTGCTTATGTGTAAGTGAAGTTAATTGTTAAAATGTCATCATAGAAAACACTAATTGAAAAAAACACACTTACACTTGATATAATTTTTATGGATAAATTGACATACCTGGAAGATCATCAAACTGTCCAACAATATCAGGCTTTGGCAAGAATTGCCCCTCTCCTTGCAAAAAAACTGAAAGGGCTGCTTTGCTTGCCTCTGGGGAAATAATGGCTTCGTGCTCCAATTTTGGATAGTTGCTAGAAAATTTACAGTAGAACCTAGCTCCCTTCTTCAGATATTTTGCTACTTTTTAATGGATTACTTTGTAGTGACAAAAAATTAGTGCTTCTCTTGCAAATAATAGATACAAACTAATAACACATTTCCTGGGATGGTGTCATCGTAGCCTCTCCTTGATAAGGTTAAAGTTGTCTTTGTTATGACAAAGGAATTATATAACTATAACGATACATTTTGAATGGAAGATTCTTCTAGAGATATTTCGTGGTAATATGCCACATACACTTAGTGAGCAAGAGTATTGCACAGGCTGATTACAGCCAAATTTTTTAGTGAACCAAAATTCAAGTGGCCAAAGCAAGTTTCATAAAAGTCGTAAGATGACTTTTTAGTTTGAATATATTGGAAAATTTATCAAGGTTTGATGCTGAAAATAGGAAATGCAAGAATGTTTTTTATTTTTGCCTATTTCTAAACAATATCAACATTTGCAAAAACACACAAATTGAGCCATGATGATTGTATTACCTGTGAAACATTTGCAATAAAAAAGTTCATCTTTGCCCCAATTTGTGATATCTTATTACAATGAACACAGGGGTACTTACTTTATTCTTGGTTGTCTAGAACTGCTCATTTTCCTTAATTTTGTTGGAGTATATGCTTAATGTTTTGGTCGCAAATTTTTGGAGCCGCAATGGGGCTAATCGCAGCGGCTGCTTTGTGATATGTTGCAGCAAAATTCAATAAATAAATGGTTCACAGATCGTGACACATTTTTATTTCCATTTTGTAATAAGAACAAATAATGCTAAAAATTGCATAAAACAGCATTTCATCCTCTCATTTAATGAAAATACTAAAATTCCAGCGATAAACAGGCTCACTCAAGTGTCTCAATAGCTGTAAAAGAGTAGGCTTAAAAAAGGGCTTGAAAACTGTCCAATAAAAAGTTAAATTTTTTACTTTTCAAAAAGTAACTTTTTTCAACTTTTAAATTAAGTGTTGTCAATGGTTTGAAGTTTGATTTGATTATATTTTAACCATAAAAAGACGCCTAATGGTTTCACAAGAGTGGTTTGAATTTCAATCGCTTTTATGTTGACAACGTGGTCGCCACTACTCATTTATCGAACCTGTGCATTACTTTTGCTCACTAAGTTTATGTAACATTCATTTTAGGTAAACTAGATAAATTACCTGTTATAATAGCCACATGACATGCTATGAACTTTACGCAAATGCCTTGTCAGGTCACGAATTGGCACACCTTTTTCTATACAGGACTCAACTTGACATTTCTCAGCAGCCCTATATTTCATATAGTCCAAGCTCTTGTAGGAATGAACTATTTCCTCAGCTGTTGGTCTTTTCAGTTGACTGTGGTCTTTTAAGGTCATTGTATGCTGGTCCTTGAGATGTCTTCGAAGGTCAACATAAACTTTCCCGAAATATCTGCAGGAACGCACTCGACAGCATCCGCTTGTGCTAGGCTTCTATTGAAGAAGCAAACAATTACATTTTAATAACAAAGATATTTAGAGTTTCCTTCTGAATTTTTAACAACATGGGATACATTTGTCTGAAAGTTTAGTTTGCACAAAATTTTGCAAAATTTGATTCATTTCTCACTTCTACTCCATTTTTAAATTTCAAGACCTCGCAGGAGGTTGTGCAGTTTATATTGTGATCAGATTTGTTGCTACATAGCCTCTGGAGCTATTCATGAAACTGAGAATTATAGAGCAATGTACCCTACATTTGATCACAACTGTGATTCCTACCTCTGGAATTACCAAGCTAGCGATTTCCCTAACTCTAAGTGAAAGTTTGGTCATGGCAGGGACTCTAAAGTCAGAACCTTTGATCTATTATCCTCAAAGTTTCCTCTATTCATTAACCAGTCTTGGATATAAATTTACATAACTAAAAAAAGTGTTCAACCACCAACTGCTAACAAACTGGATTCCACCCTGGCCTGCTAGACCTAAACTCATTATCAGCCTCATTCTCTCTGTGGAGGTTTTGTGTTTTCTGCATTTTCCAGTTTTGCCATGATTTTTCTTACATTTGCCATAAAACTAAATTGAATTTGCTAGGAATTTGGTTTTTGTTTATTTCAGGAATCTTGTCACAACAGCAAGATTTGTTCAAACAATGTTAGGATACTAGTTCTGGAGCTTCCTTTTACATATTCCTTGTCAGTTCATTTCATTTTGAAATCCCACTACATACAAACTCCATTAAAATAATTCAATACATGAAAATAACTAGTCACAATAGATTATCAAACTATCAGGATTATAAGGGGATTTGTATGCAAGGAATTTCTTGAATTTTGATGCCTGCTTGCATATGGAAACCAGAACCAGCCATAAAAAAGGATGAAGGATCAAATGAACACTTCATGACCGAGTAGTAGTAAAGTAGGCCCATAGTGCCTTGGACAAAAACGGTATAAAACTTTTCTCAAAGAAACCTTGCAGTGCCTAAAAATGCAAGTTTTATTTAGAATTGATAAATGTAATACCCACCTATGTCTTCCTGAGATCAATCTGCTTATCGATTATCTTTTCCGAAAAATTGATAATGTGGCTTGCTTGGAGCTTCTTTTCGGTAGAAATTGGCGCGAAACAGTGAAACATGAGCGAGCGCTGAGACGTGTTAACATTAAAGATCATTCATTGATGGGATATCCAGTAATAGGTATTACATATTACTAACAGCGATCACTAACTGGTGTACTATTCTGATAGAAATATACCATTAACGATTGGGATATTCTGTTAGAATCGGGTGCCCCAGTCCATTTTCCAATGCATTTTGGTTGGCATATCCAGTACTTGTGACACTAAACTTACTGCATATGCAATATCTGGTCTGGCACACACAGCAAGATAATTCAAGCTACCAACAGCTTCACGATAGGGCTCATTTGGGAGATGATCACTCTCATCTTCAGACTGCTCACAGCCAGATTGGAGTACTAACTGGAGTACTAACACAATTACAATCTTCCATTTTGAACTTTTCAAATATTCTGCTTATGTAGTGTTCTTCCATCATCCAAATGTTTTATTTCTAAACTTAGAAAATATATGGCTGGTGAATATGTAATTTGAAACTCCTCCTGTAGATGCTGTAAGCAGTTATTTACCTTACCTTCACCCTGTTTTGCATCAACCAGTCCATCATCTACATACATTGCTTTAAGTGGGAATTGTTCAAAGTGGGAATCGAACTTGGCAGTGGTAGCTCAAGAATCAGTCTTTGGCCTGCTATTATTTCTAATTTACATAAGTGATATAGTCAGCAACATTACGTGTGGAATTAAGCTTTATGCTGATGACACATCCCTATTCTTAGTTGTTGATGACGCAAATGTTACCGTTCAAGTGCAGTGGCGAAGCTGACCAAGAACAGGTGGTCCTGCCCAAAGGGGGTCTGGGGGCTACGGCCCCAGAAAAATCGCGTGAAGCCACGCCCTAGAGACCCTCGGAAAAGGGGGAAACGCCCTTCTGGATATGTTGAAATCAAGATTGCAGTGAAACATTCTTCACTGCCACATTTTGGAAAAAAGGGGATGAAGGTTCGGATCCTTGTCAAAAGAGCATCACAAAAGTTCTTTCTAAAATAAGTAACATTAGAAAATGTTTTCATTGGTTGAAAATTTTGAAATCATTGACTAAAAAGAAATTGCTTGTACAGATAGGCATATACAGTTGTAATACAAACTGGAAACATAATTGATTCAAATTATTTAAAAAAAGTAAAAATATTTTGTCACAACATGGATATGTCTGATGCACGGTAAATAGGGTCTTGAATCAATTTGTTTTGAATATCAAAGGAGACCCCTGACATTTTGCCAGTACAATACAATCTGAGTCGCCGAGTACAAAAGCTCCCAGTAATTACCATGGTTTTCCTTTTCATCCTTTTCAAAGCGTCCTTTTCATCGGGACCTCTGAATTGTATGGTAGTTCCTGTTTAAGGCAGGAGGACGAACTGCTGAAATTAAATTTAAGCAAGCCTTTTTTCTGTCATGCACACTTCATCTCCCCTCGATCTCGACTTTCCTGGTATAAAAAAACGAAGATTCTCTCTCGGCAGCGGCTGCTAACTTTTTCTACTGTTTATAATAGGCCTTCGAATATGACTTCCTTTGCTCTCTGCAGTCTGAGAGAAAACTATTAAATGTCAGGTTTCTCGCGATGTCTGTGATATTCTTGACCTATAACAGTAAATAGGACCAACAGAACGACTCTAAACAATTTTATTTCCATAAGTACCACTCGTCTTGAAACGATTGATTCTTGTATAAATCAAGTGACGACGGCCGAAGCTTCTAGCAGCAAAACTTCTTCAACAGCAGAATCATGACGGTTACAGTTAGTTTTATCCATGATTTCAAAATAGTTAAGCCTGACTATGGCCTGAGTGAAAATTCTTTGTGACCTGTGACCACGGTGCAGAAAATCAACAAATTATACCGAAACATAGGGCTCCAAAGTCTAGGTCCTGCCTTCGTGACAGAGCAGGACCTGAGGTCCTGCCATTTCTGAAGGGCAGGAGTGCCATTGTTTTCTTCTATTGTGAGGCAGGACCAAAAACAGGGCTACAAGGCGTTTGCCCATTGTTGGGCAGGACCAAACATAGGGTTTAGTCCTGCCTACGAGTATTGGGCAGGACTGACCACAGGGCTAAATTTTTGACGATATCAATTTACGAACGGGATACTCGAAATTCCATTCCAGTCACCCTGTGTCTCAGAATTGAAAAAGGGCACAGCCACGAAATATAAGTGTAGAATAAGACAAGAAATGCCTTTGAATCAGGCATATAATGATTTCATAAAATGAACAAATTTTTAATATTTTAAAAATTGTTATCTTTGGAAATTTGTGGTCCTGCCCGGCAGGACAAGCAGGACCTTTGGCTTCGCTACTGTTCAAGTGTTGAATCGCGATCTTGAAAAGATAAATCTGTGGGTGTGGCAGTGGAAAATACAGTTTAATAGGCTTGGTCATCAAAACAAAAACAAATCGATATTTCACGCATGCGCATCGCGCTAGGGGGCAAAAGAGCAACAATGGCTACTGAATCTACAAGGAAAGCATGTCTCTTTATTACAAATTGCTCGATTCTGTTGCAAAACAGCATTATAACGAGAAGCTGACGTTTTCGGAGGGTGCAGAGAGCCTACCAGATCCATATGCATTGCTTCATGGTTGGTCTGAAAGCCCAAGTGACTGGCCCGATATAACTTTTGGCGATATCTATGTGTACTTAGTTCACACGCCAGGAAATTTCACCAGCGAAGAGTTGAAGGCTTACAAATCACTTGATGCATATGAGTAAGTTTAGATTTAAATATTATAATATGTTTCTCTTTTAGATGCTTCAATTCTAAGCCTGTAGATTACATATATTTATTTAGGCCCATGTGTTTATGTTTTTTGACACAACTACTTAGCATTTATATCTCCTTTTTTATTTTACACAGATATGTTGTTAGCGGACAGGTTCAGACTGTTTACATGCATAATGTCGACAATGGAAGTCCGTACTGCTTTTTAAAGGCGAAAGTAATGCCTTCCCATCGAGTCTCCGGAGCATTACATCCACCTTGGGTTTGTGTTGTCAAGAAAACTGGAGCTATATAGTGTGCTCATTGTACATGTATGGCAGGGTAAGACTGTCGTACTAAACATTCAAAAAACGTTTTTTAAAAGCGTTTATTCAGACTCTAGTATGTAATCTCAAAGACATTATGCATATTGAATCTTTTCTTCTAGGCTTGGTGAAACATGCAGTCATATTGCTGCTGTTCTCTTTAAAGTTGAAATGGGTGTGAAGCTTGGACTGTCGTCAGAATCATCCACAAGCGAAGCATGTAAATGGAATAAAACGTTTAGAGAGGAGGTAAGGCCATTTGATCACTACAAGTATGGGTAAATAGATGCTACAGTTGGGAGATTTAGTAATGGGTGCCCCCATGCCCATTTTTTGCTGCTCTTCACTGAACTTTGGCCTTTTGTCAAATAATCATTAATAGCAGTGATAGGAAAATAAATAATGAACAAATGTTAGCCGGAAAACTCAGTTAGCCGGAAAACTCGCCTCCATGTAAACTGATCATTGGGGACAGAAAAGAACATGAAACTCGATGCTCGCCAAGGTTTTTCAGCTCAAAATCCTCCCAGACAAAATAAAATAGGTGATAAACACAAAGCAAAGGTAAATTAAAGTTTACATCATCAGTGTAGATATGAGTGGCGCTTTTGATACAATCCGACGTGAACAGCTTGTTGATATTGTAAAGAAATTCCTCAATGAAGACAAAGTAAGAATGATTCATTTGTTATTAAGCAATATAGCTCTAGATGCAAAAATTAACAACACCGAGACAGAGCCTCCAACATTGGTCTCCAACAAAAATGGTCTCCAACATTTTTACCTTGGGAAGCTATATATGCTGACGACGCTGATTTTCTCACAACTAGTGAAGTGGAGAAAAATATCATGACAGAAAAGATTGGAGAAATTCTGCTTAGAGAAAATTTGAAAGTAAACAACAGCTAAACGGAGCGAACATAAATTTTTCGAGGAGACAGCAACACAGAGCGATGGAGGACAGTTGAAAAGCTTGGCTCTCTGTTAGGTGATACAGAAGATATACAAAAAAGAAAACAGTTGCGAATACCATCCATGATTAGAATAAATCACATCTGGATCAGAAAAGACCACGTCAGAGAAAAAATTTGCCTCAAGCTTTACAGAACACTTGTAAAACCAGTTTTGATGTATAACAGCTCTACTTGGGGACTGACACAAAAAGATATGAAAGGTCTAGATGCTTTTCACAGACAGTTACTGAGATTGCTAATAGGGAAAAGTATCCTAACAAGATCTGCAATCAGAACTTGTACAAAAAATGCGAAGAAGGACCAATTTCAATTGACATCGTCAAGGGTAGATGGCGGCTGTTTGGTTACATATTACATTTTTTCGACGATACACTGGCTGTGAAGGCAATGAGATTTTACTTTTGAAGGAAACTCTCGTGACAACCCAACCAAGTTTTTCTGCGGCGTCGATCAAGTCCACATTTGCACATACTTGAAACTTTTGGCTTCATATAAAAACATTAGGAACCATGATTTAAATGGCTCTTGCAGGACAAAAGAATCATTCATTCAAAGAATTATTCAGGTTTGACACGAAATTCAACAAAAATAAATTGCCCAATCATATGCAATCAATTCAAGAAGACTGAAAGTGGTTTCAAAAGTTTGTGGCTCTCGTCAAAATATTTAAAATTTGAAACTGTTTAAAGAAGTTTCTTGCAGTTATCTTTTTAAAGAAATGTCCCAAAACGATTGAAGTTTTGATTTTGGGTTGTTTCACCTCCGACCCTCTCCCATTCGTCACTTAGAAACACAATCAATTCATGCAACAGTATCTTTCAATAATTCTTGCGCCATTTCTTCTCCTTAGAGGTGATGTAATACTTCTGTGAGGGGAATGTATATTGCTAAATCAGTTACCTAAAAGAATCAGATCACACAAACAATTCTTGCCCATGATTCGCAGATGAACATCCCTGCATATAAAAGGTTTGTGAGACTCCCCTGAGGGCTTGATATTTCAATCATTCCCACAATCAATAAATCATTCCATCATTTGATCTCACAGCAGCTTTGGTGTAAACTTCCATCTGGAGTTTCCATCTTACAAATTCCTTCCATCAGTAAAAATATACCTATCGACCATCTATAAAGCACTCGAAATATCAAACATGAATAATACATGAGCAAGAAGGCAATTTTGAAAGAAATTAGAAGCCAGCGTGAAGACAAACTAAAAAAACCAGCTTGTAAGCAAAAGAACCATAATTACATGGAACTTTCTGCTAGAGAGTTCTCAGAAACATTTCAACAGCCCTGAAAGGGGAGCAGTAACACCTGACGTGAAAACTTTTGGTATGATTTTAGCATAGTTTTGGGTGTAGCATTGGATTATTTAAATTGATGGGATGACCTTCATTTTCGTTTCCCCATATTGATTTTCCAAAAGTTTTCAAAACTCGTGACTTTTGGGAAGGTTCTTTGGACACTAAAACATGGCATTTTTCACTCCTTCCCTAATATAGTCATTCAGCCTGTCCTTGCCTGCTGGACATTTTCTTGATAACTGGAGATGGCTTGAGTTGCGCCTATCTTCAAACAAGGGTGTATGGATAAAAAGTGAATTTATAGACCAATTTCAGTACTCCCCAATGTTTTGCTCCTTTTTGAGAAACTAGTTATTTACCATACTAATTTAAATGACAACAACCTGGTATTTTCCGATCAGTAAGGTTATGGATCACTTCATTCAACTCTCACAGGCCTGCTTAAGTGTGCAAATGATATTTGGAAACTATCGAAGGTCAGGACGATTTGCCTAATTGTTCTTGCATGCCATAGCAGAGCAGAAGGAGCCAGTTCTTTGTTTTTCTCCCCTTTTTCCATTTTCTTTCGGAGTATGCGCGAATAAGATGAAAATTTATCTTCGAAAATAGGGATCGTGACTGTTCCCGCAAATTTGTTTTTCCCTCCAAACTTTACATACTATCCTCGTTTTGGTGGCGCATGCATGAAAAAACTCAGGCTGAATCGTTTGGACGCGAGTGACCCTTCTGGTCATTTCTATTCTGTGCTTGAACTACCTACGCCAACAACTGTTGGAACTGAAAGTTCGCCATCTTGCATGTTTACAAAATTACATAATTTTTCGCTGGCCATTCGCTTTTGCTGACTTTCCCTTTAATGGAAATTAGGCTAGAGAAAAATGCCTGGAAAATGGTTTGCATTGCTTTGTGGAACCAAATGATAGAGGACTAAAAACTACACTCCCCTCACAAAAGTATCCAGACAGTTTCAAATACAGTTGCAAATCTGTTGTTAGAGTAATATGTTTACAAATTTCAGTATCAGTTTTCATGAAAAGATTTTAATAAATTTCATTGAAATTTTTTTCTTGAAGTTTTCTTGGGCCTTTAATCTATGTATTCGTAGAAAAATATAATTTTATCGATATATAAGCAAACTCTGTGAGGGTTTTTCCTGAAGATGGTAGCGACCTAAACACATGAATTTACTTCTTATCAGTGTCTAGAGATAATGTTTTATGACATTGATGGGAAAAAGCTATCATTAAATAGCTAATATCATTGGATGCACAAAGACTCCATCTTTTAAGCTATGCAAAAAATTTTAAAAATAAGAAGTTTTAGGAACTAGTTCTAGAAAATAGGTCTAGGCAGGGTCACGACATAGCTCCCCTCCTAGAAGGCAAGCGGTAGCGAAGCATTCGATAAAAAAAATTAAAAATTAGCGATATGATTATTTAAAGAAAATGAACGATAAAAATAATATTAAATACTACTTAGAATGTTCGATTGTTGGTACTGCACTGACTTGCATCCGTGGGGTGCCCTTGCAAGCAGCGATGAAAATTTGGACGATGTCCGTGTTGTATTACAAGGTTTTCGTAGGTTGACCAGGAACCATGATGCGATGCAAGGTTTTGGTAGGTTGACCAGGAACCAGCGATGTAATGTGCCAAGGTTTTGTGAGTAGGGTAACCAAGAACCTGTAAAGAGCCGAAGGCGTTGCTGAACACCGGAGAGTGTCGTGATGCTGCCAAGGTTGCGTTGTGCAGGCGAATGGAGACACTTGTGTCTGAGTGTTACGTTGCCTGTTAGAGCTTGGTTGCGGTGAAGTCGAATCAGCGAAGGATCTTTCGTGTCACGTCATGGTCAC